ATGGCAACATGCAAAGATATCAGCAAAGAACTTTCTACGATGGGATACTAATCTGAGATCTCCATGATTTGATAATGGATAACTAATTAAGACATAATCACACAACAGGTTTTTTTTTTTTTCCCCAGTAGCTGTCTCAACAGCGCTCTTTCTGTCAAGCCTCTCCCTCTGCCCTTCCTACTGGGCAATGGGCTTCTTTAACTACACCTCAATCCTGTTCCTCAACTTTTTAAGTCAATTTTGCTTAATAAAATAGTCTCTATTGGGCTGTTAAAATTTTGGTTCTAAGTATTTTAAAATGCGAATCTCACTTGTAATTTAGAATCCTCCTCACACCTCTAGGAGATCTCTATCTATATTCTCTATATATCTATCTACATTTATATCTATAAATAGAGAGATTGGTTGATTGATTATAAGGTCTTGACTCCTATAATTACAGAGACTGTGAAGTCCTACAGTATGCTGTTTGCAAGCTGGACAGTCAGAAAAGCCAATGGTGTAGTTCAAAGGTCTGAGATCTGGAGAGCTGATGTGTAGATGCCAGTCTGAGTTAGAAGTTCTTAGAATCAGGAATACCAAGAGCAGAAGATCAATGCCACAGTTCAAGCATTCAGACAGAGAGCAAATTTAATCTTTCCTCTGCCTTTTTGTTCTATTCAGACCCTCACTGGATTAGCCGATGCTGACCCACATTAGGGAGGGCCATCTGTTTTACTCAGTTCATCAATTCAAATACTAACCTCTTCAAGAATCACCCTCACACACCCTCACACACACATTCAGCTAAGAATCCACTTCTCTCTTTTTCTCTAAATTTAAGCACTTATTAACAAACTAACTATTAAGAATATAGGAAATTATGCCTATTCTAACTTCCCTATAAGTTATGGCCATTATAACTTGAATGCCAATAACACCCATAAATAATGTTTAACCAGATATATTGGCATCCTGTGGCTTAGCTGACACATAAAATTAACCATCACACCTTCCTTCCTTGTGTTTACTCAGATGGTTTCAGAGCTTGGAGGATGGGGATACAAAAATAATTCTTTATCGGACTACCTAGTGTAAGACTGCTGTCATTGTATGATTAATCATCACTGAGCTCAAATTTAATTCCCATAGAGCTTGCTGATAAGGACTGGAACCTTGGAAAATTAGGCCATATCTTGCATGTGACTCCTAGCTGATAACCTTCACAAGGCGTTCCTTTGATTCCTAGGTCTCTTTGCCCTACTCTATAACAGTTTCTGCCCCTCCCCAGTTCCAGCTCCAGAGCCTCTAGGCATGGTAGGATTTATTTCTCATGCCTCTCCAGAATTGAGAATTTAGGTAGGGGTTCAATCCTAGCCCTTTTCCACCTGGCCATACCCATCATGTCTCTAAAATATTCTTTCCAGAAATGGGTAGGAAATATCAGAAAGGGAGACAGAACACAAGGACTCCTAACTTTGGGAAACGAACTAGGGGTGGTGGAAGGGGAGGAAGGCGGGGGATGGGGGTGAATGGGTGATGGGCACTGAGGGGGGCACTTGACGGGATGAGCACTAGGTGTTATTCTGTATGTTGGCAAGTTGAACACCAATAAAAAATAAATTTATTATTAAAAAAATAAAATAAAATATTCTTTCCAGGGGGGGCCCCTGGTTGGCTCAGATAGTTATGCTTCTGCCTTTGGCTTAGGTCATGATGCCAGGATCCTGGGATCCAGCCTTGAGCCCTGCATGGGCTTCCTGCTCAGCTGGGAGTCTGCATTTCCCTCTCCCTCTGCCTCTCCCTCCTGCTCCTGTGCTCTCTCTCTGTCTCTCAAATAAACAAATAAAATCTTTAAAAATTTTTTTTTCCGGGGTCCTATAGCTTGCAGGCAGCTCAAAATCCCAGTGGTAAAGCAGATATCCAGCAGAGAAATGAGAAGGAAGATTTACCGTCGTGTAGATATCCCTAAACTCGATGCACAATTCTTTTGGGATCCCACTCTCTTGGCTTTGGGGAAGGGAATCAATCAAGTGCCACAATCTACCATAATTACAGGAGATAATGAGAAGGGATAGGTTCTTTCTACAAACACTGTACTTCCCAAAATGTGAACCTAGTCTCCTCTTTCCTAGTACCACACTATTCTTCTATCATTTGGGGTAAGAGTCACCTAACTAGTTCATCCTCTCTCTGTCCTTGGGGGCACATGAGTCCCAAACTAGGACTCTTATGTCTTTCTAATTCAGCCTTGGGAAATTTTAAATTTTGTTCTCAACAGGTTGCTACCTATCTCAAACTCCTCAGACAACTCCAAGGACAGAAAAGATCTCAACCAACAAGTCACAACATCTTACTAAAGATAACATCATTTCCAGGACATTTTCCCCCTATCTTTAAAGCACCACTTCATTACAACCAACTGCCTATATATCTGATCAGGAGAAATATACAAATGGACGTTTTTATCCAAGAAAATTTGGTAGTTTCAAACAAAAGACTTATTCAAGATGGGTCAAAAAGACAACAGCAAAGCATTCAGCCACTGTGAAAAATAAAAATCCTCTTGCTAAACTTTATATCCAATAGTTAAATCATAGTGGTTTCCTACTTTCAAGGGATTCTTTCTACATAATTCTTAATTTTCATAAAAGCTTTTTTGTATTGATATAAAAGCTTAGAGCAATACAGCCCACTGAATGAAAAGCAACTAGTTAGCCTTACTAGTGGATGCATTCAGTCAACAAATATTCACTAATCACCCACTTTGTACAAGGAACTTTATAAATCATTGGGTCTGCAAAGTAGAATAAAGCAGATATGTTTTGGGCCCTCATGGATTTTAAAGAAAAGTGGATTCAGCTAAGGAAAGAATTATGCTCTGTCTATTCTTCAAATCTTGTTAGAAACCATCTAATAATGGTAAAAAAAGAGCCAGCTTTTATTGAAAATTTATTTGGTTCTGTGGTAAGTACTTAATATATGTAATTTACTTCTACAATCCCTGTTTCACAGAGGAAGCACAAAGACCTTGAAAAGTAATTGACCCAAAGCCACACTTCAAGTATGTAGCAGATATGATTTAAACCCAGATATGCCTGATACCACAGCTCGTGCTTTCCATAAGCATCCTTGCAGCCAGTGTCATTAATAGAACTATCTGCATGAAGAGTTGCGAACTGTGAAACAGAATTCAAGAATCACTACTCCTTTAAAAGACAATTTTGGGTGTGATTGAGCTTTTGGAACTTGTTAAAAAGAAAACCACAGGCCCCAAATAGCATCACTATGGTTAAGGCCCCAAGTTAGTAGCAAACCAAGTTAATATCTAACCTAACTGCAGTTTTGACCACCTAGGAATGTAACATTTAACTAGTCGGCACCAGTAAGGTAATTCTGTCACATGAACCCTCTGCATTCCACCAAAGCAAAATCAGGTAATCCATGTACAAACCCTCATTTGTCTCCAAATGAAGGTGACTACAGGTGAAATAATCCTTTTTTTTTTTCTGTTTATGACTTCCCTGTCCTGCCCTTAAAAACCTTTCCTTTCCTGTAGTCTTTGGAGCTCTTCTCCACTTGCTAGATGGGATGCTTCTTGATTCATGGATCATTTAATAAATTCAATTAAATCTTCAAATTTACTTGGCTGAATTTTGTTTTTTAACAAGCTATACCTCAAAATATCTTCAAAGCATAAAAAGCTCAAACTATGTATGCACTAGGCATATATTCTTCATTTATTCAATGTCCCAGCTAATTTAGCAGGGTAGGAGATTACACAGGAGTTTGGAACCCAAACCAGAGGCAGTAAGCATTTGTCTGGCCTGCTTGCCTCAGTGCATATAACTCTTCTGGTTCCTTTATCACAACCAACACTTACTAATTTTTTTTTTATTATGAATGCCGCTTTCCTAAAGACATCTGTTTTCTAACTATGATAAAATCTGTTTAGTTACTTTAAAGTGGAGACAGGAACATTTACACTCCAGGTGAATTTCAGTCTCAAGTTTAGTTGCTTCATATACACCCTGTTTATTTCTATTATTTTTTGAAACATTTACATCAAAAGGCAGATGGCTTTGGAACTATAACGTCTGCATATGGTATACTTGTGATCATTCTACGAAGATAGTTGTTAGGGGAGGTTTTTGAAAGTTTGTAAAGGAAAGCAGGGTGTAAAAAGGCTCCTTTTCTTCAAAGACCATGGTATCAAAAACATCGCAAATTTACATTAAAAGGCCAATATCTGACAACTGGACTTCTCCCTAAAGATTTACTTTACAGATCATTTTGAAAATACCAACTATGTTCATAAAGATGCCTCTTTTTTTTCAAAATAGAAATTTGAAACAAGATATGTGTTTCAAAAGCGCTATTAATGTCATGTGGAACTCAGAGAAGATATTTTGTGTGATACGAGTGAGTATAATTTTTAAAAATGAGGCTTTTTCATCCCGCAAGATGAAGCATTTCTTTCAAAAGTGAAATCTCGCAATTTTTGATTTTTTGAGGCATGCTGGTTTTTTTAAAAAAAGGAAATGAAAGAGAAATTCTTTGGAAGAATTCATCTGTCTCCTTGCCTCTCTAATAGGACTCCTGCTCCCTTCCCACCCCGGCCTTCATTCTAAATTTCCTGGAAGGATCTGAATTCAGGGGATGCAATGGGCAACGGTGGTGGTGCACCTGAGGATGGATGAGGGAAAGAGGGGGTGCGGCCAGCGAGAAAGGAAGAGAAAGCGAAACAACTCAAACTCAAGGCCTGGGGCGGGAGTGGGAGGGATGAAGGGTATTGCAGACCCTCCCGGGTAACCTGAGAAGTTACCTTCCTGAGAAGTTTATACACCCTCCGCTGGGAGGTGAGGCGTTTTTCGGGCCTCAAATTCTAGAGGACCAAGCTGAGAGACGCGGCGGTGCGCGCTGGGGCTAGGTGCAGAAACCGGCTAAGGGGGTTGCCTACGCCTGTGCGTGAGGCGAGGCGTGGGGGCGGGTAGGCGCGCCGCACAAGCCGCTAGATTTGGGGGGCGAGCTCCATGGTGACGTGAAGGCGCTCACGTGACGTGGAGCTGCAGAGCGACGCAGCCTTCAGTGCAGTCGTCACTCCCGTCTGGGTACCTGCTCCCCGGTGTCCTGCGCCCGGCGGGCTGGCGTCAGGCCCGAGGAAAGCGGAGCAGGTAAGGGCTCCGGGGCCGGTGCGCGTGGCCAGGGCGGCAGCGGTCCGCCTACTTTCGAAGCCGGCTCATTGGATCAGCGCAGCAGCTTTCTCCACCCCCGGCATTCTGGGGAACATCCGTAGTGGCCTCCTGGGGTGGGAGTAATGGGGCGGCTGGGTGGGCAGCAGAGCAACTAAGAGAGACTGGAAATCACCCCCGAGTACCTGCAGGAAAATAGTGAACCTCCCGGGCGGGGTGGGGGGACGCTAGGGTTGGGAGCCGGAGATGGGGATTAGGGGGGCGGCCAGGGGGGCCCGGGACCCGGAAGGGACCAGGTAGTGGCAGGTCGGCGCCAAACGCTTCGCAACACTCCCCGCTCCCTCCACGCTGGCCCTTTGCAGGACTGCGGGCCTAGGTGTCAAGTGTCGCGGCGGCGCCCACACGGCGAGAATCGGGAGAAGGAGGAGACAGCAAGGATAGGCCCAGGTCGGTGCGGGGGACAGAGTGGGGGTCGGGTGCAGAGCCGAGTTTGAGACCCCCTCCCATCTACGTCATCCCCTGTCCCCCACCTCCATTTTGGTGCCTGCGGAGCTTGGGGAAAGAATCCTGGGAAAGGAAAAATGGTGGGCTTTGGGGGAGGGAGGGTAAAGGAGAGAGCTGGAGGGAGGGGCTCGATTCGGAGGCCCCCTAGAGGACGCCTGAAGCTCCTAAGGTGGGAATTTTTTTTTTTAAACGTTAGGTACCAGATCTCTGGATCCTGCTGCTCAGTACACCAAGCTTTCAGTCTCTCTCCTTGCCTTTGTCTTATTTGTGTTCAAAGAAAACCAACCAGGAAAAAAAATCTCATGGCAAATATCCACCAGGAAAACGAAGAAATGGAGCAACCCATGCAGAATGGAGAGGAAGACCGCCCTTTGGGAGGGGGAGAAGGCCACCAACCTGCAGGAAATAATAGACGGGGACAGGCTCGTCGACTTGCTCCTAATTTCCAATGGGCCATACCTAATAGGCAGGTCAATGATGGGATGGGTGGAGATGGGGATGATATGGAAATGTTCATGGAGGAGATGAGGGAAATCAGGAGAAAACTTAGGGAGCTGCAGTTGAGGAATTGCCTGCGTATCCTGATGGGGGAGCTCTCTAATCACCATGATCATCATGATGAATTTTGCCTTATGCCTTGACTCCTGCCATTTTCCATGAGATTAATACTGTGATTCACATTGTTTTTTTTTTTCCTTGCCTTTTCCTGATAACCTTTACTGATCCATTTGCTGTGAACCATATGTAATTTCCATGTGTCAGGTGGGTTCTGTATTACCAGATTCCAAATGGGGATTGCCTTGGCACTCAGTCTAAGTTTCTGTCAACAGTAAAGTCACCCAATTGCATGGAAAAGTGTAAAGTTAATAAAGCAATTAAAAAGCAATCTATACATTTATTATTGTCTCATTTAAAAGCATATGTATAATATGACCCCTCCTCAAAAAATCAGAAATCAGATGCTCCAGGGTGTTAATTGGGTCACGTTTCTCTGTAGTTGAATACTATGTAACTTTTTTCTTTTTAGTATCTGAAGTTTTAGTAGCAAAAAACAGTTTTTCAAGGAGTGTGAATACAGGTATTCACAGGTATATAATACTGGTTCAACAAACTTTAAGAGTGAACTTTAAGAATTTTCCAGTTTTAACTGGATGAATAAACGCTCCCTTTGTTACAGGTACATTCCTTTTAAGAGTCAATCTTCTTTCCTGTGAGGAGGAATAATGCTTGCCTTACAGGGCAGCTGAGTGGAATAGATGAGGTGTGAAACTGTAGGGCTGCCTCCTATCCAGGTCTGTCAGGTACTTGGGAAGGACTAAAGGGAGTTTTCACCATGCTCACAAGCCCAAAGGGCAAAAATAGATGGCTTCCACCTTGTCATTCTTCTGATATTTGCAGTACTTCTTCCCTGATTATTGCCGTGTCAGGCGTACTTTCCCTTCTGGGTTCTGATTCTGTTTATGTTGCTGATGTGAGTCTTAAAGGTAAGAAAAGTGCATTGATTTCTCTTGAGTCCCTAGTGAGCTAAACCCTGCCTGGTTTGACTTCTGTCGAAGTCTGGAGCAGATCTTTCTCCCCACTTTAAAGTTATATTTATCCAAGTGAGTACCATTCCCATGGTTCTTTGTCTTTTGTTGGTTCCTAACAAAATAGCCCTTTTTGGTAATATTTTTGTGCCCCTCCTCTCCAAAGAACTCACACAAATGCACTGGGGTCTAGCTTAGGAGACATATCTAGATGTCTCACCCTGGTGTGTCTAGAATTGCACTACTTCAAACCTCCAAAACGCAAATAGGCTGAAAGCTTTGTTTTGCCTGTGTCTTTTTTTTTTTTTTTTTGCCTGTGTCTTTACCCTTTGGGGCTATTTTCTCAAAAGAGAGTCTGGGCAGGCCTACCCAACCAGTTTAACAGACTTACCCAGAAGATGTCTAAATTATAATATTAGGGGGACAAATTTTAAAGCTAAAACACTCCCATTTTTATCCCTTCCATACCTGAAACATGAAATTGCTTTGTAAGTTCTTAAAAACTGTATTAAATATTTGAAGTAATTTTTATGTGAGTATATGTCCTTCTTTTAAGATTTTATTTACTTATTTGAGAGAGAGTGCACAAGTGGAGGGAAGAGGCAGAGAGGGATGGGCAGGGAATGACATAGGACATAGGACTTAATCCCAGGAGCCTGGATCATGACCTGAGCAGAAGGTAGAAGTTTAACCAACTGAGCCACCCAGGCACTCCCAATATATGCCCTTATGACAATTTTGTCTTAATCATCTTGGAGCTCAGTTTCCAGTGCAGTGCCTGACATAGTAGATAACTCATTTTGATTGGTTAACTATAATGGAGTTATGAACCCATCTTAATATTGTTGCTAACTGACTGTCCTTAAGTGTACTAGGGCAAGTAGCTACTAACTTGGAAAGTATTAATTTCCAAAGGAATATTGTAAGTAAAGTCTCTAACCCCAAATCTGTAATTTCTTCTTTTTTAAAAAAGATTTTATTTATTTATTTGAGAGAGAGTGAGTGAGCCAGGAGGAGAGGTGGAGAGGGAAGGAGAGAATCTCGGGCTGACTGCACATAGTGTGGAGCCCAACGCCGGGCTTGATCTCAAGACCATGGGATCATGACCCGAGGTGAAACTAAGAGTTTGTCACTTAACCGACTGAGCCACCCGGGCACCTCCAAAATCTGTAATTTCTTTTAAAAAACCTTATATAGACACAGACCCCTTACTTGCATTGTAATTACCTAGGGAAAATGTTAACAATGCTGATACTTGGGTGCCTTTCCCACTTTCAACCCTCATTATCACCTTTTGAATCACCTGATCAGGAACTTCTAGTTTGACAGTTCCTCAGGTGACTCTGATGCATCTGAGTTATGACAACATAGGCATGGAGAAATACAGTGATTACAGCATTTTACAGTGTGATCTAAATTACCTTGCTTATTTGATAATACAATTAATACACCTTGCCAAGATCAAATTGCATTAAACAATCAATATCTATAAACTAGTACTGCTTTTTACCTTTCCAAATATCCTATTAAATTAATGCATTACCATGAATCTATTATTAATACATTTATAATAATTATTATGAGTTATTAAATGAGTTAGGTCATTATTAGTTCTATGCAAGGCTGTGCCCTTTTACACTAATGATTTTGTCTTAATTACCCCAGAGCTCAATGTCTAGTGTGGTGGATATTAGAGCAAATGTTTAATAACAATCATTTAATTATTATTTTGTTAATTTAATTATTAACATTAAATTTCTTAATGGTAATTTATCTAAAATAATGTAAGAACAATTACTGGATCTTTGTGGGTGGTTTATTTCTTGCACTCTCACATTTTAAAGGTTTCTATGAGGAACATTTAAAAATGTACTACTATAATTTATGTAATACAAGGTCATGATACACATTATACATACATTATATTATGCAGAAAATATAAGGAAGAATATAAGCAAAACCATAAGTCAATTATCCAAAGAAAATAGTTGTAAATTTTTTTTACTATTATATTTAGTCATGATAAAGCCAGTCTCACAGCCTCCTAGGAGGAATACTTCCTCTTTCAAAGCCCTCCAATGAGACACATTTAGCTTTTTTTGTTTCTTTTTTTTTTTTTTTATCGTTCTTCACTCATCAAAACTGATTGGATCACATTTGACCAACTTTAAATTAGATCTCGCTTTCCAAACTGAAAATAAGTCGTCACAGTTTAGCGGTCCACTCTCAGTTGGCAAATCTGGGATCATTAAGTGAAAACGTTTAATAAAACAGGACAGAACTATTTATCTATGAAACTCAAAAGTCCCATAAGTAGTAAAAGGACTAGCATACATGAATGAAATGGACTAAATCTCATGTCTATTTTGTCTCATTTCTTGACATATATCTTATAATAAACGTGCTGATTTTGATTAGAAAGACTCTATTTAAAAATTTTCAAGCAGTTTGCATGTAATATAGTTACTATGTCATGTGTAACAAGTTGTGATGCATTCTAAGTGATATACATAACCAAATAAGTATGACATCCCTATCAATTAAAAAATCTTAATATTTATTTGTATTTTAAATTTTCTCCCAAACATTGTTTGAAAAGTTACAATTTGCCTGTTCAGTGATTTATTCTTTACCTTGCAAAGCTTGCAGAAAATATTTTCGGTTTAGTGAATTTCACATGAAGATAAATCCTCAGATGTATGCCAATTAAAAAATAATCATATTCCCACAAATGAAAAGAGCTTTATTGTGTTTTAGATTGTAAAATATACATTCTAAAGTGGATTTTGTTGTTGCTTTGGAACAGAAGAGAAAATGTATTAAGGAAAAATTTAAATCTTATTTTCAATACCCTGTTTCCTTTAATGAGATCACATGGGTATAAATTATAAACTTATTTTTATAATTTTAAGCTTTTAGCTATTTATTCTAATTTAATAAGTATTATTTAATTTCTAATTATATTAAGATTTGATTTTTAAAACTGTGTCAAAGACAGTAAAGCACTTAATGAAAATTTATTGAAAAAGCAACAAACAATAATAAATTTCAAATTCTCAATTATTTAGCTAGTAATACAAACTTAGTAGTTATTACCATGACAGTGCCTCAGCTCACTTTATTTTGGTTCATTGGTAAAATGGAGATAATAATTTCCAGGGCTGCTGTGAGAACCGGGAGAGGTAAAGAGCATGTGAGCTGTGTTTAACTGCTGCTTATATTTACTAGTGTATGCAGGATACAAGTCTTTCAGAATCCTATTGGTTGCTGGAAGTAGCATCCAAACTGTATGCTAGAAGCCAACTCCATTCCTCTGCTGGGGCTCACCACATCCCCTCAACCCCCCCCCCCACCCTGCCATATCACTGCAGATTTTTCTGGACACCTCAGTGTGCCAGTATCCCAGCTTGTCTCCTACAGAGGTGTCCATGAAGACTTTCTTCTTGATTTAGAGTACTAGTTTACGTGAGTACTATCTTAGTGATGCTTAGACCATGGTATGTTTTATATATATATTTTTAAAGATTTATTTATTTATTTATTTATTTATTTATTTATTTATTTATTTATTATAGAGAGAGAGAGAGGGAGGCAGAGACACAGGAGGAGGGAGAAGCAGGCTCCATGCCGGGAGCCCGACGCGGGACTCAATCCCGGGACTCCAGGATCGCGCCCTGGGCCAAAGGCAGGCGCTAAACCGCTGAGCCACCCAGGGATCCCCGGTATGTTCTATATTTTTAACAATGTGTGTGTTTGTGGATTTGTGTGTGTGTAAGCAGCCCTCTCTTATCTATAATATTCAGATATTAGGGCCTGAATCTTGCTTTTTATCCACTGTGATCTCTTGCATGTGATTAGAGGGGTTAGTCCATTTCCATTTAAGTAATCATTAATGTTGTTGTCCAATAACCTGGTAATGCTCTGTTCATTTTTTCAGTCTTTTATTCTTTCAATATTTCATTTTGAATTACTTCTATTGCCATTACTTGATGTTCACTAATCTTTTCTTCTGCAATGTCTCATATGCCATTAACACTGTCTAATATGTTCTTCATTTCGGACATTATAGTTTTTAATCTCTGTATGTTCATTGTGGGTCTCTCATATATATTTTTATATTCCATATATCTACTAAACATGTTCAGTCTTTCCTCAGCTTTTAAAAAAAGATTTTATTTATTTGTTTATTTGAGAGAGAGAGAGAGAGCATGAGTAGAGGGGCAGAGGGAGAGGGAAAACCAGATTACCCACTGAGCAGGGAACCTGAGTTGGGGCTTGATCCCAGGACCTTGAGATCATGACCTGAGCAAAAGACACTTAATCAGCTGAGCCACCTAGGCACCCTGCAACTTCT